TTTTTTCCTGTGTGTCACAGATAGATGGGAAGAGAATCTGGAAAAGACCATTTAAAAAGAATGTAAACTGTAAAACTCTGTTTGAAAACTAAAAATAAAAAAAGTAAAAATATAATATCTAGCAAATTTTCAATAACAACTTGAAAAACAAAAACACGAAAAAAAAATGTTGGCTTTTTTTTTTTACATATAATTTAAAGAAAATGAAAAAAATGAAATAAAATTAAAGTGTGAGATAAAAGCAAAGTTACTATCTGGACCTTTTTTTTTTCAATCTAGGATTTGTTTTATTTTCAGTTTTGGATTTATTTTTTCGTCAAATTTCTATTTTCAAAATGTGTTGATTCTGATGAACACTGATGGAACAAAACTCCGTCCATTTTTTCCTCCGGGCTGCTCTGAACATAACAGAACGAACAATAAACGAATATAACTAACTGGGCTGCAGAAGATAAGGAATAATAAAAATGCAGATTTTAAGAAAGGATTTTTTTTTTAAATATAACTTTTTTAAGTTTTGGAACAATATGGTCTGATAAAGAATATATTTATATACCTGTTTAAGCCAAAATGATCTGACATTTAAATATGATTTCCCTACAACTGTAAGTGTTTATTTTTTTATGTTTTTACCAACAAGGCACAAACAGTGGGAACTGTTTTAAAGATACAGCCGTGATATCAGGGGGAGAGCCTCCACAGTCCAGGTGAAGCTGACAAAAAAAAGGTAGATCCTCATGATCAAGCAGCCTAAAGCCTAAAAGAAGACCGGCTTTCAGCTCCCAGGCAGCAGGGGCGGAGCTAGATGGGGGGCGAGGTGTGGCAATGGCCATTCTTAGTCAATCATTGGCCACCCCTGTGGCCGCCCCTACCATTTTTTCCCCTCTAATACCGACGGTGGCAGCAGTAATTCTCTCAAGTGGAATATTCAAAACATTTTATTTTTTCATACATTACTTATGCTATGTTCAGACCGGACGCAGCAAAAGCAGCAAAATCGCGTCTGCTGCTTAATTTTTGCTGCTTGTACCAGTTAGTTCTGACGCGCGGCTGAAGCAGCTTTGATGGTCTGGCTGCGCGGTGCAAAAGTGGCTCTGACGCACGTTGGGCGGAGCTACTCTATCCTTTCTCTGCCTTGCAGCTATATTTGCTGTGATCAGTGGGAATAAAGTAGTTTTATTATGTTTTTTAAGTGAGAAAATACACCTAAAAACGTCATCAGTGCAGTCAGGTCATCCAGATTACAATCCTGCCTCCCAATGTTATTTCTGTCGGAGCCGCTCAGACCCCCACATACCGGCGGTGCGCCGACAGAAGGAATCCCTTCAACAGCAGCCTCTGGCCGAGTCGCCTCCTCGCGGTTCACCGCGGCGGCTGGTAGGTGTTTTTCATCTAAATAATCGGATCTGCAGGCACCAGAATAATAAAAGCGAACATATTCTGCCGGCAGATGTATGCATTTTAAGTTAATTATGCGTTAATAAACTGTTTAAGAGGAGAGATCAGAGCGGTCTGTGTCATCACACTGTGTCTCTCTCCCAGCCAGCTCCAAGATCAGCTTCTCTGATTGGTTGACGCGGCGCGTCGAGCAGCAAAAATTTAATTTTTCCATCTCGAGCAGCAACGTGTTTGCGGCGCGTTGCGTTCATCAGATGCTTAAACGCGCCCGACGCGCTGCTTCAGCTGCTCAGACGCGCTGCGCCTGCTGCTCAAAACGCGCCGCGGGACCTTTTGCTGCGCCTTGACGCGCGTCAACCATTGACTTTGCATGTAAACTCGCTGCTTCTGTCGCGCCAGCTGCGTCCGGTGTGAACAAAGCATTACAGTTTTTTATATATTCAAAATTACTTGACAACAAAAATACTGAGGTAAATTATACACATCAATATACTAACATTAAAGATGATAGGTACAAAATTCTTGCTCTTTTTCAGAACTAGATTTTTTGTTATATTTAAAGAAAATTATGTGTCTCTACAAGCCATCTAGGAGTCATAGATAAATGACTATTTTAATAAAGACCTATCAAATAATCAATTAAGGCAGAATTAGTGCTTGTAAATATCAATTTTATGCAAAAATGATTATTGATACAAGTAGGTGAGTAATGACAATGGAAAAGATGAACTCAAACCTGAAAGAATTTTATCCACTATACCTGAGGTCTACAACAGGGGGTCCGCGACCCCTAGGGGGTCCACGGAGGTACTGCATGGGGGTCGTGAAAGTTTTGGTTGATTAGACTGCAATTTTTTCCACTAATTGACATGTCTATAAATCCACATTAACATGAATTCAGAACACTGTAGTAAACAGATAAATGGAGGCAGAAGATGTCTTTCAGTCATCAATGCACACATTCAGCGACACACAGGAGCTCTTTCAAGCTGGGCACCGTTTCATTTCATCAAAGGCTTAAAATGGAATAAAAATGAGTGTGCCCCATCTGGCTAATGTAGGAAAACAATTTCACAAAGAATTTAAATCAGTAGGTCACACGACCTGGAAGCTATTAAAGAAAATTCCCAACTTTTGTCTTTAAAATAATCTTAAATATTAAAAAATAGCATAAATTGCATAAAAGCAAGTGTGCCTTACATATGTTATCTATTGGCATGATTTTATATTAGTTTCATTTATTGATTTTCGTTTCTCAAGAGTTTTTGGTTCAAAAATGTATTGATGGTCTCTAACTGCACCACCACGTGTGGGAGGAGGGAGCAGCTGGACCACATCGCAGTCTCTCAGTCGGATAAACAGATCCCGCTGATTTCACGCGGCTTGAATATCCAACTTCAAACCAACTTCACCGCGGTGCAGACGGCTCAGCTGTGAGGCACTGCAGTCGACCGAAATCCCGGACCATTTTGAAATTTACCCACAGACATTTTTTTAGGAATAAAAAGTAGGACACGTCCGGGAAAAAGATGGGCTTCTGGTAGCCCTATTTAACTAGTTTTCGGAGCACATACTTTTTCACTTTTACTTAAAGCTACAGTGTGTAATTTTCAGCGACATCTAACGTCCAGACTGCAGACCGCAGCAACATGAACATCTCCCCCCCACCGCTTCTCCCCCCCAACAGTACGGCGAGCGTTACGGGACAAAATGTCTTCCACGACGTCGGAATCACCTACCTTCTCAAGTGATGAGGTTTGTTTACATAGATAATTTTACAGATAGTATTTCATTAGTCTGTGTAGGGTATAGATTTCATATAGACTTTAGATAATAAATATACCCGTTATTTTTTCTACGTCGTTGTGACGTTTTGGTGAGCTGCTTTGCATGGTGATATAAACAGACGAAGGAATTGTAGTCATTAGTTTAACAGCGAGATTGTGTTCGCTAGAAGAATATATATTCCCCGTTTACAGAGTCCAAGTCTTGTTTGTGGCACGGGGGTTACAAGGCGAGGAAGAGGGAGAGGAAGAGGGCAGAGAGGCCGGGGTGGGCGTGCAGCTAGGGCCAGGCGAGAGAGGGGTGCCAGCGGGGTGACTAGAGCAGAGGAGGAAAGGCTTGAAGATCTCCAAAGGAGCCGGAGAGAAGTAACCGAGGTATATATCCAGAAAATTATTTTACAGAAAATTACTGAATCATTACCTGTGAAACGTCAGGGACGTTGCTGAATAAGTATACTGGAGAGTAACAGCATCATCACGCAGCATGTTATTGTTTTAGACAGGTCTGAGCATCCTGTACTCCAAAAACTGCAGTGATATTAGACAATTGTGTGTGTAGGATTAATTACCTGTCCAAGAGAAAACTGGCAACTTGAGCGTCACTTTGAAAACCTTTTTCCTCCATCAGTGACTTCCATCGTGTAAATGCCGTGCCAATGTTGATCCGTGTTTTTTGTCGTTTCTTGTCACGCTTGCGTTTATTCTCGTCGTGTTTCCGCTTCTTAGATGACGGGGGTTCGGTGTCCGCCGCTTTTCGTTGTGATACAGAGTAGGCATGATCCTCCATTCGTCTGATGTTTGGCCACACAGTGCCAAACAGTTTGCAAAGTCACTCACGCCTGCCGCCTTGTTCACCTTTCTTGTTACTGAGGCGCAGTATACCTGCTTCTTCTTCTTCTTTGGTTTCAGGCAGACTAAACGCTTCTCAGGCATAATACTGCCATCTACTGTTCAGTACCGTCTCAGTTAATCTCTCTCAACTTGCCGTAGTTATTTTCGAGCGTAATGGGAGATCTCGCAATCGCTAGTTTGTTGCCTCTGCGCTTGCCGTAGCGCAAAGATGTCTGCCCCCATGGCTGCGAGACCCGCTCCTATGTAATTATAAATAACGAATTCTAAGGCAACGCAAATATTATGGTTAAAAGGCTGAGCTCGTAGGTGATGATAAATAACATAGTTATGTATAATATATTACATTTCTGACTTTATATCCCTGTAATTATTACACACTGTAGCTTTAAGTAAAGAGGTCAACGCCATACTTGAACTTTTACCGGAGTGTTTTTAAACTGCAGTATCTATACTTCTACTTAAGTAACAACTGTGTGTACTTTTGACATTTGTTAGTAAAAGCTGTAGGAAAGTATAGTTAGGCCTGACCCTGAGGTTCTATCCACCTTCGGCCCCCCTCAGTTCTCATCGGTTATTGCCTGGCCCCCCTTCTAAAAATGTTGTGGCTACGCCTCTGCCAGGCAGCAGGCTGAGCATCCGGGAAACGGAACCCAGGTCTGCAGAGGACCTGGAATGCCTCTTCCTTTGCTTCCTTTCCCTTCAGACCCGCTAATGATGGAGGAGTAAAAGGCGACATGATTGGTGGATGCAGGCAGCAGTGGAGAAATGTAAACCCGCTGGCTTTGTTGCATTAGAGGAGGAGGGGGGTGAAGACTGAACGCTCCCCTCGATGCCAGCAGCCGGTCGGTGCGGTGGGAAGCGGACTGGATCCTCCTGCAGCTCTGCGGTAAGAACCGAGACAGAACAGAAACATGCGGGGGAGGGGGGAGGGAATAAAGAAAAACAGACAACAGGCGGACATCTATGCGATTCAGCAGGAAGGGTGGAAAAAACAGCCCGGGGGTACCGCGATAGCTCTCAGACAAACCCGGCTCGGCTTGCCTTTGCGTGACAGCTGCGGGACCAATGGAAACATGCGGGAAGCCAGCTGCGCTAAAGGCTGCAGCCAATGGAAGATGTGAAACCCAGAGAGCTGAGGTTAGGCTGGCTGCAGCAGCTAAACTTCCCAGCGAATTAAAAAAAAAAAAGGCTGTTTGTGTTTTGGCTGCTGCAGAGGCCATTTTAGGGAAGAACCGAGATCTTTAAGTTCGGGATGCGGGGAGGATGTTTGCGGTGCAGATGGGGAACAAGGATGAAGTCCCGCATCCAGACTGCTGCTGGGAGCTTTATGTAGATTAAATAGACCTCCTCCTCCCCATCCCTCTCCTCCCCCTCCCTCCCCCTTCCCTGCTAATTTTTTATGCATTTTTCTAAACTGTCATGGCGATTTTGTGTCCTTGGAAATAAAAAAAGCAGCAGGCGTTTTCTTTCTTTTTTTTTTATTTTTGGGGAGGAAACGCGGAGGTGAGACTGCGGCCGGGAGTCCCGAGCAGGTGAGCTGTCCGCCGGGTTTCTGTCCTCCGATGGAAGAAGGGAGTTTTTAACGGCTGTCCACACGTGTGAGCGGAGACAGGCGGCTGCTGCTGGGATGTATTTACAGCAGCAGCAGCAGCGATGCGGTGACATTACAGAAGCTAGCACAGTGCTAGCTGCGGGGGCTAACAGCCGAACGGGTCTCCTTTTTTCTCCTCCTGCTCCTCCAGTTTCCCCCTCTCCCACCGGGAACTTCTCCCCTCATCCCCTCAGAGCTCCCAACTTATGGCAGCTCATCGAAGCTAGCCGCTTTAGCCTCTGCAGCTGCTAGCATTCATTAGTAGAGGGTTTGGAGGAGGGGGGGGGAAGCTAAGCTGTTGTTAGCCTCTTAGCTTACGGACTCCTTACAGCAGCCAGGTGAGCGCGAGAGCTCCCACTGAGTCGCACGTGACCCTCTGAGGTGACCAGGTGGAGTTGAGGGCCGCAGACAAAGGATGGCTGCTGTGAGCTGGCCTGCTTTCAGGAGCTCTTAGGGCTTCATTCTCACATCATTTGGAGGTTTTTCCTCTTTTTTTTTGTGCATTAATCAGGTTTTTCCTGATTTCTGGTTTCCCCCAATTTTTGACAAACTATAAAAAAGAAGAAAATGTGCAGAAGGTTCTACATGGGTGGTTGTTTTGCTTCTGAGAAGCTACCAACCTCTTTAGATTGGTGAATGGTTGCCCTGACAACCTCTTCTCTGTGGTTGGATAGAAAGAACAAGCACACAGCATGATGCTGCCGCTGTTCTGTGAGATCACAGGGTTTCCGCAGGTCGTAAAAAATTATAATTTTTGAAGTTAAGGCCTTAATTGGCATTAAAATTCATTAAATGTGATTATCGTGGCATTTAAAATGCTTTATATATATTAAAAAAGAATGTTTATAAAAACAATTTCTTCAGATATATTTATAATGCGATATGTTAAGCAGAACTGCTTGCGGTTGGTCGTAAAGCCGTGTGTTCGGAAAAGAAGCTCGAGGCGCAGTTGTGGTTGGGTAGGAAGAACAAGCCCACAGCATGATGCTGCCACTGTTCTGTCAGACAGGACGTACAAAACTGAAGGGATAAACAGCTATTGACTATGGGTATGCTGGTCTGACAGAACACCGGTCAGACCAGCATACGTATAGGCAATACGCATGCGCAAGGCGTCAGATTTGCGTTGATCGCTTTAGTTTTGTAAGAAGATAGTCATGCATGACTATCTTCGTACAAAACTACATGTAGTCATGTACAAAAATAACACAACAACAAACTTAACAAAAAAACAACAACATTCAGATCGCCATATGCTTCAGAAAACAACAAAAAATAAGTAAATTGTTTTTTTTGTACATGATTAAAGGGATACACGCCTGTTGAGTTAATTTAAAGTGTATTTTTCAAAACTAAAGGGATAAACTAAAGCAGGGGTCTTCAAAGTTTTCCAGGCCAAGGAGACCCAAATTGATGGCCATATGGAGCAGGGTTTGAAATAGTGTTATATCAAACTGGTCCTATAGTCACTCTATTACAGATGGAGTAATGTAACGAAAGTAATTCCTCCCTGGAATTATTAAAGTATTTCTGATTCTGATTCCTGGTTGATGGGACAGGTGTTGTGAATGAAATGGTGCCCAACTTGAAAGAGCTCCTGTGTGTCGCTGAATGTGTGCATTGATGACTGAAAGACATCTTCTGCCTCCATTTATCTGTTTACTACACTGTGTTGAATTCATGTTAATGTGGATTTAAAGACATTTCAATTAGAGGAAAAAATTGCAAGGGGGAATATAAAAAAGAAAAAGTCTAATCAACCAAAACTTTCACGACGCCCATGCAGTACCTCCATGGATCCCCTAGGGGTCGTGGACCCCCTGTTGAAGACCTCCGAACTAAAGAGATAAGGGTATTGACTCTAGGTATGCTCATCTGACAGAACACTGGCACCTCTTTCCTCTTCCACAGTGAACGCATGGTGGTTGGTGGTTTGTAGATTAGAATGGTGAACTTCACCGTCTCTGGACCAGTGGGAAAATCTGTGTTTAAAGGAAAAGTTTGGTCAGTAAGGAATAATGAATGGATCATTATCTATACCTAAAACTAATACGCTCACAGTGATTTAATGAATTTAGCATTTGTCAGTAAAAAAATAAAAACAATAATTTTCAGTGCGATCATTGAGTCTGGGAGCGGCCATTTTTGCCCAAATATAGTAGCCCCTCCCTCCTGCCATCTTCCGGCAGTGACGTCACGGTGCGGTAAGCCTAGCGCCATTCTCCCCGCTTTACAAGCAAAATCAATGGGAACTACTAGACACATCTGCAATCAACAACAATTATTGAAGATTTCCAGAGGACTTCACCATTGAAATTCACCAGAGCTATAGTGAAACTGACAATGCCCACGTGCATGGCAGCTGGATGCTGGAATACATCGGGTAAAATGAAAAAAAAAAAAAAAGAGTTATTCCACCTTTCTGATTCCTGATCCTCCACGGACGGGTTCGTCGTTGGATCGCCAACTTGAAGAGGGAGGATTTGCCATCAAACTTCTGGCCAGAGAAAAAACCCGTAATATGTAGCCAACATTTGGAAGAAGATTGTTTTCAAGATGACTTGGATAATAGCGCGTTGTGACAAACACCAGATACAGCACTGGGACTTGATCAACAGCCGATACCGCACCGTGACGTCACAAAGCAGTAGGTGGCAGTAGTGTTCTTTGACAAACATGGATGCCTCCAGTAAAGCACGTTCAACTGAAAATTACTCTTAATTAAAAACACTTATTTATTCAACAGTATGGAATACTTTCATATTTAAAGTACTTTCAGAAAGTTGAATTCTGAATGTGACCAGACTTTTCCTTTAGAAAAAAATGTCTATCGGTTGTTTCTTCCACCTAAGTGGATGTTTTCAGGTCCAGCAGAGTTACAGTGGACCTCCTGGCACTCCTCGACCGTGCTGGTCATGTCTTGGTGGTTGCGTGGTCAGTTGGTCCCCTCTTCCATGTTTGATGAGATGTTAAAAGCTTGGGAAGATGTTTAGAAGCTTATTCTGCCACAAACAGACCAGCTGGAGCCTCACTCAGGTGGACTTCCTTTAACTTAAAGTTGCAGTGGTTTTGTTAAGTGTTGCTTCCTGTGATGAACGCTTATAAGGTTTAATATTAAGGTTCAGATACGTTTTTTGTACTTTTCAGGTCCAACAGAAAAAAAAGAGGCTTAAATATCAGAGCAACTCTTTTTTTTTTCTGATTAGATGAGAGCCAATAAATGGGAAATATTCCAGCCCTGACCTCTGACACTGATTGTTGTATTGGCATCAGATGATTCACCTGTAGAGCTTCTTGGGTCGAGCAAAGCTGAAAGGATGCTGACCATATGAGGAGCTGTTTTCTCTGTACGACTGGGTGGCAGCATTTTCCCAGACTGCTTCTCCTGTGGAGCCACAGGCAGAGGATGGTGTCGGTGTTTTTACAACCCATTTATTTGGTCTTTCTCTTAAATCAGGGTTCCTTCTTTGCCTTGAAACACGTCCAACTTTCCTGTACGACAACAGCTAATAGTGGAGTTGCAGCTTTTAAGGGCCTTTTTCTGGATGGGGTATTTAATTCTGGTTTATAGATGTGTGTAGAAGGATAACTGAGGTAATCACGTATACTGGGGACATTCGGCATTAAACTCTGTCATTTTATCTAATTGTTTTATTTTATTCTTACGACGGAGTATTAGGGCCAGGTTACAGATTTTTTTTTTTTTTTTAGAATAAAATCGTAACATGAAGAGAATTACCTGAGTCCACTTTGACATCCTGCCCAATTTCATGCTGATGCTAAAATATTTCCTTATTTCTCAAACTAGAGCCAAACTATAACTTCACATGATGCTAGACATTCCTCATTTTAGGGAAGTTATGACTTTTTTCTTGTAATATTACATTATTACCGTAATTTTACAACTTCATTGTAATTTTACGACTTTATTCTCTTAAATTTTTTGTCTTTATTCTCATAATGTTACGACTTTATTCTAGTAATTTTACAACTTTATTCTCGTAATGTTAGGACTTTATTCTCATAATTTTACGACTTTATTCTTGTAATAGAAGAAAAAAAATCTCTAGCCTGGCCCTAATACTCTGTCATAGTTTCTAGCATAAAGGACTATTCTAAAAAAGGAAAGTTTTCACTAACTGTGATCTAGCTCTCTGTTTTTAGTTTAATCCAGCAATCAGTGCTGGCAGAGACATTGTGCTGTTAGCAGAGCTTCTAAACAGGTGGTTCTAGTTGGTCTTCAGGGAATGTTAAAACTCTGCTTCTCCATCCACCACGATAACTGCTAGCATCTCTTTTCCTATCCTGTTCTCCCCTTTTCTAATATCCTCTCCTTCCAAACAGCAGAGAACTGTACGATTTTTTTTTTTCAATCGTTACACGCAGCTACAGCTGAAACTCTATGACAAAACCGCAGGGTTTAAAAGTCCGCATCTTACGATATACACTATATTGCCAAAAGTATTTGCTCACCTGCCTTGACTCACATATGAGCTTAAGTGACATCCCGTTCCTAATCCATAGGGTTCAATATGACGTCGGTCCACCCTTTGCAGCTAGAACAGCTTCAACTCTTCTGGGAAGGCTGTCCACAAGGTTTAGGAGTGTGTTTATGGGAATTTTTGACCATTCTTCCAGAAGCGCATTTGTGAGGTCGCACACTGATGTTGGACGAGAAGGCCTGGCTCTCAGTCTCCGCTCTAATTCATCCCAAAGGTGTTCTATCGGGTTGAGGTCAGGACTCTGTGCAGGCCAGTCAAGTTCATCCACACCAGACTCTGTCATCCATGTCTTTATGGACCTTGCTTTGTGCACTGGTGCACAGTCATGTTGGAAGAGGAAGGGGCCAGCTCCAAACTGTTCCCACAAAGTTGGGAGCATGGAATTGTCCAAAATGTCTTGGTATGCTGAAGCATTCAGAGTTCCTTTCACTGGAACTAA